AAAAAAATTTAAGACTATGAGATAATCTAATCTCCTTATATATATATATATATATATATATATATATATATATATTAGATGGCTTTTGATTAAAATCCAAAAATTTGGATGTTGAACTTGTTTGAAAAATAATTCTTTCACTCAAAGTTATAATTTAAGTACGTTGAATAATAATTTATTTATTTTATATTTTGATATTTTTTTCTAGAAGAAAAAATGATATATATATTTATATCAAATTCTCTGATACAAAATTTGGCCTTTAATCTTCTTGCTATACAAGTTGCATCATGTTCTTTATATGTAGATTGAGATTATGACAAAATATCAAAGACAAGAACTCGATGAAAAAACAATTCAGACAAGTGTGCCTTCACTCAAAGAAAGATAACAAAATATAAATAAACAAGTATGCATATTGAAAGAAAAACTGGAATGTCTATTGCCAAAAGATAAAGAAACTAGAGACCCTTGAAACTAGACTGGAAGCAAGAAAGGAGTTGACAAGAGTGAAGAAGGCTTCACTCTTGTCTCTATATATATTATCTAACTAGTGGCTACGTGGCGACATTCTATAGGACCTCCAATATGTGTTGACTTTGTAGGACACATGCCTTGACTTACAAGACAAGTTTTTCTATGTGTGGGCCACATAGTTAGCTTGGTCTTTAAGCTAACAACATGTGTGGCACATGGCCAACTTGTTGACCACGTTTTTAATCCAAAAAGTCAATTAAAGATACCTATGAAGTCAAAGCAGTGTCTATGAAGCTTCTAAGAAGCTTTCATATTAAATAATATAGAATTAATTTACTTTTATTTATTTTTACTTACTTCTACATATTTATATATGTAATTATGAGTATGTCCATGACACAAAATTATATCTAAGTTATCTAATATAAAAACTGGTTGTTATAAAAATAATGAGAACTAAAAAAGAATACATACATTGAATAAAGTTCTTATGAATTCGTTGAGTTGATTAGATTAGATAACTAAAATGCTAGAGTTGAATAAAAAGTTTTACTTTGCAAAAAAATAATTTGAAACTTCGATTTTGTATTACTAAACATCTCTAGGAAAACAATTTTTGGTTTTCTAGCTAACATACTTGCATAATTCAGCTTTAATGTTATGACTATTTGTCTTCTAAAACTATCTAAGATATGAATGTAGACAAAACTTAAAAGTCAATACATTCAAATATCATTGAAGAAGAAAAAGAAGAAGAAGATAAAATATATTAATATATGATAGAAAAGAATAAGAGTGGCTATTTCCAAATTCAAAGAATCTCAAATTAAGATTTAAACACAAGAAAGGTGGTGACAAGGCTAAAAATCGCCTCATTCATTTCTCTATATATACTAGTTACTACAAAGGCTTTGTGGAAGCTTTTTAAAGGTAACAAGACTTGTGATCCAAGCATCAAGTTGTAGAATTTTTATAATGCAGCTTTCTAAAAGCATGAAATATGTAAAACAAAGTTTAATAGTAATATGGCATACTTATGAGAAATTACAAATCTAATTTTTTTATTACGATTTTTAATTTTTTTTTAAAAAAAATTATCATCAATCTAATATATTCTACTTATTTCTATTTATTTCTAATTTCCTAAGTAATATGTCAATCTAATTTAACACTAATATATATATATATATATATATATATACATATTTTTATTTAACTTTTAAATAATAGATATTTAATTTGAATAAAAATCCAATAGTATTAAATTTGATCAAAATAATTAATAAAATTATTGCTTAAAAATTATTATATGTGATAATTTTATTGAAAAATAAAAAATATATTTTACAATATATTTTAGAACAAAGCTTAATAATATTCTAATAAAGATTGATAATCTTAGATTGTATTGTTGGTTGTTATATTTACAAGATATATGATGTTATATCTTGTATGTATAAGATATCATAATTCTTTGATAGCATTAATTATAATAGAAATATCAAATAAATATTTTGTAGAGAAATAAATATTAAAAATAAAATTTAACTTAAAAAATTAGAAATATAGATATACTTACTTACTTTCTAACTTAATTTAACAACACTATGTTTTTTATTATTCAAATTTATTATATATATTCAAAATTAATCTAAAACACTTAAAGTTTGCTTAGAAGTTCTTTTTATATTTACTTCATAGTTGTTAATACTATAAAAAGAAAATGGAAGAAAATTATTCCAAATTAAGCTAAAATTTTATATTTAGTTTTAAAAGAGAAATATATTATCGAAATTAAAATTTATTATGACATTAATACAGTGGTTCTTGAATAATAATAATAATAATAATAATAATAATAATTATTATTATTATTATTATTATTATTATTATTTTAAATAATTTATATTTATATGTATAAATAAATAATTGAATAGGATGATGTTTTTAAAATCTTGGCTCAAAAATAACATATTATTATATTAAAATAAATAAATAAGTTTTATATAAAAGTAAGTATTAAATACAATTTTTTGTGTATTTATGTATATGTGTGTATATTAACATGTATGTATACATGTTATCATGTGTGTATATAATTTAATAGCCTTTTAATAAATATATATATATATATATATGATTTTTTAATTTTTCTAAATTTTTATTTAAAATTTTATATAATAAATATAACTTATAAGTAATTAAATGTAAAAACCTAATATTATTTTAAGCTTAAAATTTTGATTAAAAATGTTTTTATATTAAGTTATTGAACTTTAACATCTTTAGCTATCCCTTACCATTTTGTAGTATTTTAATAATAAGTTTATGATTATTTTTAGAATCTTAACTTGTATAAATGTTTCATTAGTTTTTTTTTATAAATATTTTCTTAATTCTATTTAATAAATATTAGTAGTGAGCTTAGAAACTTTTAATAGTGGTTCTCATTTTTTATGTTTATTGAAGAGTTTTTCAAAATATTCAAATAATATGTGACTTATGTGTAGTTTTTCTAATTTTTTTTATTCTAACAACTATTATACATCCAAATATGGCTTATTTACTTGTATTGTTTTAGTATATGACTAAGCATATTTTTTTTCTATTATTGTATTAAATCTTTCGTATTTTGATTTTATTTATTTTAAACTTTTGTGTTGGGGTATATAAATTGAAATAAAAATATTTAAACTATGAATGTGTCTATGTATATATTTATAAATATACATACACACATTTCGAGTTTTTAAAAATATTTCGTAAAATCAATATTTACATCTTATCTTTTAAATTAAAAATAAAAGTTAATCAATAATCTAATGATTTTTTCTATAATGTTTTAATTAAATAAATATTTTAGTTAATATAAGATTTGTTTTATAACATTGATGTATTGTTTTTGAGATGCATATTTTTATTATTCTTAAATTGAAAACAAATAAATAAATAATAATTATTTTTATATATATTTTTCATCATTGAAACTTTATCAATAAATTTTTTTAATATTATTTTTAAAACAAGTTGTGAATCAAAAATAGTTTAACAATGATATTTATGTAATATAATAATTATAATTTTAAATTTGTATATAATTTGTTTTTTAATGCCTAATTATAGTTGATTTATATGTAATGAATCTTATGTATTCATCATATATAATATTAGAAAGAGAAAATATTAATATTCATAAATAAAAAGATACAATGAATTTTTAATAATTAGTATTAAAATCGAAATAAAAGATTAGTTCTTTTCTTTATTTGATTCTTCTTTGAATATGATGCTTATAATTAGTTGAATTTAAATAATATGATTATATGTTAAATATTATAAATTTAAAATTAAATTTGTTCAATTATGAAATAATTTATTTATGTATGTATGTGGATACTTTTGGAAGGATGGAAAAGACATCCTTTAAATGATATTCTACTTAGTTCTATTTATTCTTTTATATTTGCTATTAAGTTTCTTGCATGAAATTTACAACCACTCACTTTAAATTTGAAACTTAAAAATTTACATTATCCAATCATGAAAGATTTTTTTTTCTTGTCAAATACATTAATGATAGGCTTTATTGCTTATAAGATGAGATAAATTATTTCACTTCATTATTGAATATCAAAATTTAAATACATAGATTTTGATTTGTATACAAAATTATATATATATATATATATATATATATATATATATATATTGAGGCCATAAATGAATAACATTCAATATTAAAAATGACACTCTAATTTAATATCAATTAAATTAATTTAACTTATTTGAAATATGGTTTTAGATGATATACATATTATCTGTTCAATTTATTATTTTTTTTAATAAACTGCGTAAAATAAGAATTTCATTAATTTTTTTTAAGTCTATTATAAAAATTTATATTCAAATAAAAATTATATCAAATCTATATAATTTTGTATAAAATATCATATGAGATATATACTTAATTTTGTAGTTTGATAGGCTTGATTGTTTAATTGACTTTGCACAATATACTTATAAATATCTAATAAAGTTTTACCATTTATTTTTTTATTTTGCAAAAACATACTAATGAATATGTATAAAAACTTTCCATTGTTCTAAAAGACTTTTCTTATTCAAATATCAAATCAATGTTACTTTCTAAACACATTGAATAGTAATAAAATAAGCAATATTAAACTTAGTAATGATTTTTGACTTAAACATTCAGGAATTGAAGGTAAAATATTTAAAATAGAAAAGTAAGGTTTTAAAATCTCAAAAACTACAAATAGCTCTTTAACCTTATTTGAACACATCAATTTGATAATGTGATGCAAAGAGTAACAAGAACACAAAAATATAATAATTACTACATTTACCAAATTCCAAGGAATTAATTGTAATACAAATAGTTCAATAATAATATATGAGGTACAAATATATACATATACACGCACGTACACACACCCGTATATAGCTTCATAACTACATTTAGAAGGAGAACGTGTTGAAAAGGAAAATTCCACGAAGTTCAGGCATTGAAGAAGAAGAAGCAGAACGTGCGTGAGTCGAACGATGACGAACGCGTTCGTCAAGATGCCACGTTCGTTGAGCGGCCCCCACGACGGAACATAACTTTCGTTGGCGAAGTTCCACCGACGGTAATTGAGAAAGCGGCTTCCGGCAGAGGAGACCAACACGAGCGAGGCGAATACATTGAGACTCCTCCGACATCGGAGCTTGCAATTCCGCCGCTGCATCTGCCCGCAGGACCAGTTTCCGCTGTCTTCCAGTTAAGCAATTGCCTTTCGCTGTTAGTCAATATCCCTTTTGCCACAAATTTCGTCCGAAATGGTTGTGTGTAGCGGTTTTTAGCTGCAAACTTGCACTTCAATGGCGATGTCTTTGCCTACTGCTTGCGGTGTAAATTGTGGCGTTTAGGGCTTTTAGTGAGGTCGCTTTCACGCTAGTATGCGTTTTCAAGATAAGCCGGTGTTTGTTTCGAGTTCGATGCCGTGGTGTCGGATCGTTTGACCGCATTTAGGGGTTTTATTTGGAGGGTGCCTGGTTGATGTGGCCCGAGCTGCACATGTTTGCTTATGGATGTTATTGTGGATTGCACAAGTGTTGCTTGTATTTATCTTGTCGGTATAATCTGTATGATTTGTTTGTTTGTTTGTTTGTTTTTCTTTTTTCTGTTGTGGATTTTTGGTTGGTGGTTTTGTGTGTAACTGAGTTTAACTGTGGAGGTAGTTTCTGGAATGTTCAGGATCAGGCGTCTTTTATGTTGAATTGGAGAATTTGGTTGTCTCAGTTAAGAACTAACAATGTTTTGGTTATGCGGTACTGTTGAATACAAGATCAACTTGATGCTTTGTGGGAATTGTGAACGTCAGTTACTGTATTTCAAATGCACACAGATTTTTTGGTGTTAGTGCTCAATTTTTCTTTATCATCTGAAATGATAGGTCCTTTCAGAGTGCTCTAGATTTTCATGGGATCTCTTGGCCATACATTTATGACTGAGTTCTGAGAATTTGAGAGTATCTGCAATGTTTGACGCAATTAATGTGAATCAATGACTTATTTGTCTGAAATGACACGCTGCCTTCACTATTGGGTTGATAAATCTTTTGGTTTACCTGCTGAATTCCAAATTTAGATTATTTAACAGCTGCTCATATGTTAAGCAGAATGGATTCAAGTAGAGGAATTCCAGGGGGAGTGCCCCCGCCACCAGCTAGAGTCGGAGATGGTCCACCTGCTCCGAACATGTTCGCCATGGTCGCAGTTGGTTTAGCGGTACTTCCTTCACTATAACCTATGTCTCAATTGTTGAAACTGAAGTTTCCGGATTGTTGTACTACTGAATCCTTTTACTACTTTACTGAGCTTAACATTAGCTCTCTTACGGTACACCATATCAGAATAGTGAAATTTTGTTTCAGTTCTAATCAGGTTTTGTTGGTGTCCAGATATTGCTTCCAATGGCGGTTGCAGGTACAAATTTGGCCATACTGCATCAGATTCCTGAAGGACACGTTGGAGTGTACTGGCGTGGCGGTGCTCTTCTCAATACAATTTCAGGGCCTGGTCTGTTCTAAGCCGCTTTGTTATACGTTGTCCCCTTGAGTGCCACAATAATTCCATCCATTGGAATTTACTGCGCGCACTACCTCCATTTTCCCATGTAACACTTATGTACCGCGACATGACTGCTCAGGTTGTATGCTGATGGATTTAATGTCCCCTATTCTATAAATAATATTTGTACACAACCTTGGTATGTGTTCATCTGTGTTGGTAGCGTTGTACTAAACCTTCACTTTTCCTTGGTGTTACAGGGTTTCATCTGATGATTCCCTTTCTTACTCGCGTGGAGCCCATTCAAGTGACAATTCAGACGGACCAGGTAGGTCTATCTTGTTTTCTTTCGTTGTCATGTCTATGGTAGCGAGTGCGACATATGGAGACATAAAATGGGAACTTCGGAATCGGCGCTTGGAAGCACTTGCATTTGGCAATTGAGTACTTAATTACTATTTGGTCAAAATAGACGTCATTAATCACATCCGATAGCATGTTAATTTCGCAAGTTCCAACCAGGAAAAACTACTTTTTTGATACAAGAAGTTATCTACATGTCATTGCACCAATAGTGTTCAATCTTAATCTTGTTTGTGTCAACTTATTATCGATCCTTTCTTTTGCCATCTGTTGGTTTTCAGGTTATGAACATACCTTGCGGTACCAAGGGAGGAGTCATGCTTGAATTTGCAAAGATTGAGGTGGGTATCAGCTGCGTTCTTCCGGATTTTACTCACATTCATATCTGACGCTGTTCATTTGATCATCGCTTGCTCCTTGTTATGAGATGCTTCTGCCCAGCCCACTTGAAACTCAGTTTTCGTTTCGGTTTAGGTATCTCCATTCATCGGAGTCCTAATATTACATTTGAATTAGGTATTTCGTGTATATTGTGGTCGAGGCAGTCGTCTTTGTCTGTTGGAAAGGTTGATCATCCTGACGTTTATCTAGTCGACTGGTTGCTACGTTGGTGGTTTGATTTGGATTGATGATGCAATATATCTGTGACTGGGTGTATTTTCACTCTAGTACTAGGATTCTCTAATAATATCTCATCCTTATTTTAGCGCTTAATTTGTAGCTTGGCACTGGAGATTTGCAACCTTGAATTATATCTCTTCGTTTCTTACTGTTTTAGGTGGTAAAACTTCTAATTGTGATTTTCTCGTTTCACAGGTTGTAAATAGATTAAGGAAGAATTATGTGTATGAAACTATCTTGAACTTCGGCGTCCATTATGATAAAACATGGATCTACGACAAGATTCATCACGAAATCAACCAATTTTGCAGTGGACATACTTTGCAAGAAGTTTACATTGACAAGTTTGATCAGGTGCGTCAGGATATCTTGGATTTCCTTGTATGAGGGGTAGCTTAAACGTAAACTTTTGATAATGTGAATCAAGTGCTCTTTTATTTGACAGCTTCTGTCGCTGCGGTAAGGGATATGTGTAGTAGAATTTTTTTTGTGTTGGAAGGTCCAGTGCTGCTCCAAGATTTTAGTGCACACTTACAGGGATGTCATTATCAATTGACTATCGTCTTGTATCGTCTTGCAGATTGATGAGATGATGAAAGAGGCGATCCAGCGAGATTGCACACAATATGCTCCAGGCATTGAGATCATCGGTGTGCGTGTGACCAAACCTACAATTCCACACTCCATTGCACGCAACTATGAAATTATGGAGGAGGAGCGCACGAAGGTATATTTTTTTTCTCTTTCAGCCAGAGTGAAGTGTAGTCACATTATTTCTTGTTTGGATTTAAAATTAAATTTATGCTAGGGTTATGTATGTTCAACACGAGTTTGGCTAGAGTTGCCGCTGGTCAGTTGGTGTTCTCAGATGCCAGGCAAGCCTTCTGCTCTATGCTTTGTCTTGCATGGGTTTCTTAATCCAGTTTTGTTGGGCTATTTAACATTGTCAAGGGTCTTGCTTGGATTTTCAGGTGCTGATAGCTGTAGAGAAGCAGAAGGTAGCAGAGAAGGAGGCTGAAACACTGAAGAAAAGAGCAGTGACAGATGCTGAGAAGGATGCCAAGGTGAGTGAGATCCTGATGAGTCAACGTGTGAGGGAGAAGGAAAGCATCAAAAGGCAGCAGGAGATAGAAAATGAGATATTCCTTGCAAGAGAAAAGAGCTTAGCTGACGCTAATTTTTACAGGTACGTCTTTTCAGTCTCATCTTTGCTTCTCAATATATGGATGGTATAAAAATTTGGAATCCAAGATAGTAGTAAGCAGAATTCAGCGGAGTCTTCAGAATTGTTTTAGCTCTGTGCACTTTTCCCTTATTGTTATATGAGATTCTCTATTTGGAAATGTCTTATTCTGGGTCATTCTCTGAATACTTGAAGTCGACAGGGTTCTTTGTAGACGATGTGAATCCTCTCTCTGGTATGTGGTGCAGAGTTATGAGAGAAGCTGATGCTAACAAACTGAAGTTAACTCCCGAGTTCCTCGAGTTGAAGTTTATTGAGGCTGTTGGGAACAACTCTAAGATGTTTTTTGGGGAAAAGGTAAAACCATTTCTCAATTTCAGTTCATGCTATCACTAAGATGTTCTCAAAGAACAACGTTCCATAACAAACTTCGTAGAGATTTTGAATGTGAGACCAATTCCTTAGTGAATGTTTGTACAAGGATAGTCTTGGCAAAGCCTTCAGATTTTGCAGTTATTCTGCTGGGTATCGTGCGAACGGATTTGATTGTCTTGCTAAAGCACTGGCTACGCACTGGTAACCTTTATGATGTTTTAAGTACTTGACTAAGTGCTTGCCTGTGATGCAGCTGCCCAACATAGTGCTGGACCAAAGATTGCTTGGAAATTATTTTGGGCCTGAAAATAAGAAGCAAATTTCTTAAGAGCTTCTTAGCAGGTCCTAAAGTTTCACAGCAATAACGGCTTTTAATTGTCAACTGGAACTTTAAACACATTTCAAGGAGGATGCTTTTTGGTCGCGCAGAGTTTTGAGAGGCTTATCTATACGACTTGAAGTTCTGCATTTCAATATTTTAGGGGGTTTCACATCGTTATCCTTGCAAAGCACTCTTTTTTAGTAGTGCGTCTTGTGTAGATTTAGCTGTGTGGCTGGCTACACTGGTTTAGTAGTTAGAATCAACTTGCATAAGTCTTGGCACATGAAGAGTTGCAGATTTCGGTTCTGTTCTTTCTTAGTCCGAAGGAGTATTGTGGAAGGTGAAGCAGCTGCAGTTCTACTGTATTCAGGAATACAAGTTGCTTGTTTCTTAGAGGCTCTCTTGTAGGCAGCTATGGTATTGTGTGCATTGTCAAGACTCCAATGTCCAGTTTCTTACACAATCTTACGTCAAACCCACCCTCTTTGTGTCTAAATTTTCTGATTAATGCCATCATTGAGAACTTACTGTAGATGAACTTTAAATAGGAATGGTGTAGTTGCAGGTTTAAACGTGTATCTTCAACCTTGAATTAGATGTGTCACTCCGCATGGCATTCGGAAAGAGCAGAATTCTGAAAACCTTGAATTTTTTCTGCAAGTTCTTGTTGTGAAAAATGTAGACTTGAAATCATCTCGGTAACAGGGTTTGCAGAACAACCCCTAGATTGAACTTCGCTCTTTGTGGATGAATCTTGCCCAATAGGGGGACTCAAACATGGCCTTTTTAGGTGATATTTCACCAATGATGAGATCTCAAAGTATCTTGTGATATTTCAAAACATCACTTGATACTTTACCAAATCACCCACCTTGAAAGGTGGGTGATTTTGTAAATGAAATATCAAACAAGGGGTGGGTGAAATATCAAAACCGTGTTGCTTGCCTTAGCTCTCTTCCCTCTTTGACTCTATACCACACTACAACTTCACCTTTTTATGTGTTCCAAAAAAACAACAAATCCTAAGCATCTTTGACTCCTACCACATTGCAACTTCACTATATCTTGGCACTCTAAAAAATAATAGATCCCCTGAGATTTAAAAATGTTGTTCATTTTTTTAATTGATGAGGAATTTTATAAAATGTTTGAAGAATAGTGCTAAGAGGTTGATAATAAGTTTTAAGATGACTTCTTTAAGTTCAATGATGTAGACGAACTTATGGTGGTTTATAGTGCAATCAACAACTTTTGTTACATGTTTACTTGAAATATAATATCCAAATTGTGCAATTGGATTTTGAATTATTTTATGTATGAGCATCATACCCAGTTTTGCAAAACTGCAAGAAATTTAAGGCATTGAGATGGTGCTTTCAACTATCAAAGACTACTCTGTTTTTTAAAAACAAAAGCCATTGTCCACAAACTAATATTGCTTAGCAATTGGCTTTAGCTCTAGAGCATCTTAGATCATATGAAAATGGAATTAGTGTTGAAAGATTGAAAAAGGTCTAAGATATTGGCAATGGCACAATGTGCGTATATACAAATTGGGTGATTCATGTCATTCTTTCACTCAAACAATAATATTTTAGGTAGTTAGATATTGCCTAAATTCTTCAAATTAGCTAGTCTTTTAGTCTCTTAAGATTCAAGGGTTACATTGAACTTATCAATAGGACACAATCCCTCCTAAGCTAGTACCCTAAAAATAATGAAGATACATTTTTTAATAGAAAAAGAAGTACTTTATTGATACTTAAGTTATTTGTGATCTTAACCGTCGCATCATTGGGCTTATTATTGACTGACTTGGATTATTGTTGTACAATAACATGGCTATATGGTGAAAGATCAAAATATGGGATTCAATTGTAAAAGAACCTAGTAGAAAGATGTAGTAGCAAAATATAGATAAATAATAGGAAGTTAGTAAAGCTTTTTAGTATTAATATTGCTATTTTATAAAAGAAAATTATTTACTTTATAAGGCCATTAATAAAAAAATAAAGTTGATTAAGAAAATAAATCATGTAGGCATCTTTAGGAGAGAATTAAGAATAGATTTTAACAAAACTTATTTCAAAATGTCAAGAATTGATACCCAAAGAAGACCAATTGTAAATCAAGATCAAAATCAGATCCTAAGGCATAAAACTATGCACCTACAGTAATTCTAGGGTTCTTTGGTTGATTGGAGAGCCGAGTTTGAGAGCAAACTTGTGAGAGATTTTTTTTGGAAGTTGGTTTCATGTGATTTGAAGGATTAGTGAAGGTTTTTGCAATCTTACAAAATCTGATAGTTTGATTGAAGCAAAAATTAGTGAAAGCAATTTGGACTTATAAATCTATACACCATCCAATTTTTGAAGAAATTAAACAATTCAATAAGAAAAAATTGTGTTGAAAGATCAATATTTAAGTTGGAAAAGGAACGTAGTTGACATTTGAGATATTTAGGAGCTTTTTCTTTCAATTGGTGTTTTCAATTTTTCTCAAATTTTGTATGCTTATTAATTACTTGTGAATTGAAATGTGGATAGAATTTTAATTAGGATCAATGATTTGGTTAATATTTATTGAGATTAAAAAAAAACTATAAGAATTGATTAATATTTATTTAAGATTTGTTTGGATTTATTTAGAGTTTGTTTAAGAATTGATTTGGATTTAAAATTTGAATAGAATTTGATTAGATTTGATTTAGGATTTAATTAATATTCTTTAAAATTTTATTAGGATTTTGATTAAGATTCAATTAGAATTTGATTAAAATTTTATTAGAATTCGTTTAGGATTTCTTAGAATTTCATTAGGATCTATTTAAGGCTATATTAAGATTTGATTATGATTTATTTGAGATTTATTTAAGACCTATTTAGAATTATTATTTTGAGTATTTTAAAATAATTTTTTGTTATTTTTTTAGGATTTTTATTTTAGTTTTTTTGAAGAATTTCTTTATTATTTTTTTAAAGATTAATTTATGATTTTAAATATATTTTTGATAATTTATTTTAAACTTCTTTTGAATTAGTTAAAAGTTGATTAAGTTTGTTAAAGTTTAAGTAGAATTTATTCAAGATTTTATTAGATTTGTTAGGGTCTTGATGTTGTATTTTTCTAATTATTTTCCATAAGTAGGTACTTGATATATTTTCAAATTAGAATTCATGTCATATAACATAAGTGGTGAATCCAATATGAAAGCTTGAGGTGGGAGGTCTTGGAGTTTGTTTATTTTTATTTTTATTTAATCAAAAAAGAGAGCATGAGATTTGAAATAACTATGGAAGGAGTTTCAATTGGAGCTTCAAGTGGGGTTGCAAGTGGAGGTTCAAGTAGAGCTTGTAGCAGAGTTTCAATCATAAGACAAAATATGTACATAAATTTAATTATTGCAAGTATGTTTCAAGCTTTTATATTATCTATGCAAAAATAATAAAGCAATGATTGCAATGAAGCTTTGATAACCAAAATATTCCAAGTAAATGTGAACAAAGTTTACCAATTTAATGGAAGAGATATTTTAAAGTATTTATGATATTATTTGTGAAAAATTAAATTAAGTTGGATTTTTGAGAAGAAGATGATTAAACTTTTTGAGCTTGCTATGATATTAGAGATAAAGGAATATGTTACATCAATTATGAAGCATTATGGAAGTTCATGGGAGACATTTTTACATGTATTAAAAGACAAATATTTCTTAGAAAATATTGATTATATTACTAAAAAATTATTTCTTTAAGAAGATGAAGGATTGACAACAAAGTAGAGAAATATTGAAGATGATATAGGTTTGCTTACAAAACAAGAAAGAAAGAAGGATAAGATTAATATTTTGAGAGTAGTACAAGCACTCAAAATTCAAGCACATACTATATGATTGACAATACCTATTATCTAACCTCAAACATTTATATCAAAAAAATAAGATATGGGAGTTGAAGAGATTATATGTGAAATGCAAGATCCTCAAATCAAACTTACAAGGCTTAAAAAGAAGACTTCTGCAAAAAACTTAAAGACTATTTCTAAATAAAAGTACGTACAAAGATACATTTAGTGTAATGATGCTTTTCATACTAGAAAGAATTGTAATTAATTCAATGACATGGTTCAATAAGTCATTGTTTTTTGGAAAGATAGAAAAGTGACATTAAAGGATATATAAGACCTTCGTCAAACCAACTTTGATAAAGGAAGTATGAAAACATTGATTCAAGATTATTTGATAGTAGATGGAGTTGTAACATAAGAAAGTACAAGTAATGGTGCTATGATAGCTGATGATTTTGATGGAAATATAGAGAAAATTAGATTTTGGACTTTTGCCATTTCTACAATACAAAAAATGAAGATGCCTTAAGAAGCATTATTAAAAATTGCTTCTATAATATGTGGAGCAATAAGTTGGAAATATCTTATATAAGTTCTTTTAATTCATGCATATATTGCTAGAAACCAATGTAAAGCCTTGATCGAAGAAAAGGAAAGAATTTTTTTTGATGATACAAGAGAAGAAAATTCTTCTAAGAAACAAACTTAAGGTGTCAAAGCTCGTAAGTTGACTTCACAAGAGTTGTCTACAAAATATACTTCAATAATATTAGAAGAAAATACAAAAGAGAAAAAAGATAAAGATAAATCAATAGCTTATAAACTACTCTTTAATATTGAAGCAGCAATAGATTTGAAAGAAATGCTAGAAGAACATGTACTAAATGCTAAGGTAGAATTTACATTGAAAGAAATTTTAAAGATTGCAAAGAAAGAATTTTATGTTTTTATTATTGAAAATATTAAATAGAAAAGGTAATTAAAAGATGAATCTAGAATAAATCATACTATTAATGCGAGGATATATAGGAATAAAGAAGAGGTTGATAATTGTTACAAACAATCAATAAGTAAAAAAAATGGTTATAATCAATAAGTTCATTTTGAAGATTGTAATAATAAAGATATAGGAGCTTTAAGCCATTATACTTGAAAACATTAGATAAGGGCTACAAAAGTATTAGTGAAGGTGGAAGATATAAATAAATTGATTGTTGTTTTAGTTGACCATAGTTTTAAAATCAATCTTATGTTTAAAGATCTTTTCAAGAAGCAGATGTAATTAATTGATATAGAACATAAATGGACAATATAAGTAGCCAATAATATATGATGTGAATTATATGGAACTTTCTCAAATATTAAAATTTGGATTGTAGATGTTGTAAGAGAGCAATTTTTTTTTGTTCAAGGTACAACATTCTATTCAATGATTTTAAGACAACCATATATTATCGCAATATGAATGAAAACAAAAGTATTTGATGATGATTCAACTTATTCATAGATACATAATAAAAATACAAGAAAAGCAATACAATTTTTAATTGTGCCTCCTAATTATGAACAAAATTAAGATATGTTGAAGGAAAAGCTATTACCAAGAGTCATTGAAGAATTTAAGGATAATTGAGAAGTACCACTATAAAACAAGATTATAGTGGTATGAAAAGAGAGATACTTTCA